GGGTTTTCGTCGCCTGGCAACGACGTTGTAAAACAAGCCAATTCACTTAGTGAGCTCGGCAACCAGGTCACCGTTTTTTTTTTTTTTACCTCTGTTTTTTTTTTTTGGCGGTAACCATAATGGNGAGAACCCGGCGTGCTCCGTCCCGGCTTTGTAGGGATGCGAGGTCAATGGTCTAACGACTACGGCATGCACGACTTTGAGTACAACCCCCCCCCCCTCATATGTAGCCCCGGTTGGGTCGTCTAGCTGGTAAAAGTGGAGGATAGGGGCCAGAGGGGCAGACGACAGAGTCCAATGATGGGAGAAAAACAAACAACCCGCTGCACCAGCCACGGGCCACCGCCCATCCGCACCGGCCACCCGCGATAACAATGTCATTGCTGCCAATCCAGACCNAAAAACACACCCAAGCTGCAGGTATCACGTACGCCCAGCTTGTTGCCTTTGCGGCCATCCTTCTCCTGTTCGCGTCGACTCCGGCTATGAACAGGAAACCTCCTCCTCACAGAGCACTGTCGGCACGAAAAAATGATGCGTCCACCTCAGCAACGACCCACTTCTTTGCGTCCGGAACGGACTCCGGCGGCAACCCTCTCCCTGATGAATCCGTGATACTTCCCGGAGGCGGTACGCATCAGGCCGGGCTAGCAGCTGCGCGGGCAAGTTGTTCCGCAATGCGTACGAACGAGACCGTCTCTGCGCGCGCCATCGCCCTCAACTTATTTTATTATGTCAGCAGATGGTGAACAAGAGAGCCAAGCAATCCAACGAAGAATCCCACCGTGCCGGCGATGTCGTGTATGACTGATCTTCGCGCCTGGCCTTGCCTGAATTCTGGTTTCTTTTGCGGTTTGCCCTTTGGTTGCGGTATTCGTCGCGCTGCAGACATGTGCCTGGACCATCACAAAGAATTTCCACCACATATATTGACTACCTAATTGTTTTGTTTTTCTCCCATCATTGGACTCTGTCGTCTGCCCCTCTGGCCCCTATCCTCCTGTTCTACTAGCTAGACGACCCAACCGAGGTCACACAGGAGGGGGAGGGTTGGACCCCCTCCTGCGGTTCCTGCCTGAGATTTTTTTTTCGCGAGAAGAGTACAGCGATCCCTTCCCTCGCGACTTACGAAGTCGATTAGGGTTTACAAACAACGAGCTTTGCCGCGCGTCGCTTTCATCCTATTATTGACAAGGATTTATTTAGTGCGAAAAACACTTTGCAGCGCGTCGCTTTCGTCCTAGACGAACATTTATTTAGTGCGAAAAACACTCACTCTGCCGGGACTCGAACCCATGACCTGGCCCTTAGCATATGTCTTCGCACAATTATTATAACCCACCGGGGCTGCCCTCGGTCATTCTCTCCCGTGCTTGACCGGAGAAAAATCTGTGGTTCACGGTTCACCGTCTACCCGACAAAGCGTATCCTTGCCGATCCTCATCTGACGCCAGTTGCTACCATGGTCACGGCCGACGGTCACATGTCGTTTTTCCGATTCGGTACCCATGCCAACGTATTTTATGCATGTACGTGTCGAAAACGGGACAGAAAAGAGGCGG